GCTGGGCCAATGGCTGGAGTGGCCGGGCCTCCGATGGCACCCATGTAGGACTAGAGGCATGCAGACAGATCCCTTAGGCCCTGCCCCTCATGCCTGCACCCTAGGGACAGCTCTGGTCACCTCACCCCGGATCCAATGGAATGTGAACCCACATACGCCCCTGGGTAGTGGGCTCACATCAGACCTGGGCTCAGGGTCCCAGTCATGACATAACAGGGGATCCTAACTGAGTCCCTTTCCTCCTCTGGCCTTGGTTTCCCGTATATAAGCTGAAGGCTGCCACCTGGCCTTGGCGAAGGATCCACAGGAGCAAACGCTCAGACCTGCACCTACAGTGGGTGGGCGCCCCCTCCCCACCCCCACGCCCCCACCAGTTGGTCACTCAGCCTGGAGGCTTCAGCACTGGACAGGCTTCTGCAGGACCCACTGTATGGACCTGGATGGTGCCAGCACCTCTGTCCCAGCCTGCTCATGGCAACGTGAGGTGGGTGCTGTGAGTCTCAGAGGAGCTGACCTGTGCCTAGGGTCTGAATGGGGCCCAGTGCAGGTCAGTGCACGTGTGCGCCTGCACTGCTGGGGACACATGGGCGGAGTGCCGGATGCTGGGCCAATGGCTGGAGTGGCCGGGCCTCCGATGGCACCCATGTAGGACTAGAGGCATGCAGACAGATCCCTTAGGCCCTGCCCCTCATGCCTGCACCCTAGGGACAGCTCTGGTCACCTCACCCCGGATCCAATGGAATGTGAACCCACATACGCCCCTGGGTAGTGGGCTCACATCAGACCTGGGCTCAGGGTCCCAGTCATGACATAACAGGGGATCCTAACTGAGTCCCTTTCCTCCTCTGGCCTTGGTTTCCCGTATATAAGCTGAAGGCTGCCACCTGGCCTTGGCGAAGGATCCACAGGAGCAAACGCTCAGACCTGCACCTACAGTGGGTGGGCGCCTGTTTCTGAAGCTCTAGGCAGTTGGCCAGAGAGGCCTTGCCACGAGCAGGTGTCTGTAATGGTTAGTTTCCTTTGGCCCAAATCCAGACAGAAGGGATGAATATTGGCAAAGGGCTACAGCAATGCCCTCCCCCACCCCAAGCTGTGGTCTCCCGCAATGGCTGACCCTGCTAGGGACCTCCTGGTAGACGTGGGGGCATTGACTGTATGCTGGCTCAGGGAGCTTACATACCTCCATGTGCCCTCTGGCACCTTGGTGCCCACTCTGGGTCCTGGGTACTTTCAGGAGCTTCTCTGGAGCCCCTGAGGATGGCTGGGTCCAGGCTTGGTGGGAGAGCCCACCTACGGTACACCCACAGGCTGGGGCCCACTCAGATCACCAGGCTGCCTTGCCTCAGCCCGTGTCCACCCAAATCTCGCCAACCTCCACTCCTGAGGCTGGCCCACACGCCCTCCCTGCTGGGCTGGCTCAGCTCCCCTGCAGGCCATGCCCCAGTGGCTCATTCTCATCCCATCTCTTCCTCCAGCCACAAAGGATCTGGAAGCACAGTCTGGCCTCTTGGCTCGAGAGCATAAGCTTCATGGGGCTTGAGGTCCCTCGTGGACATCAGGTCTGGACCTTACTGAGGCTGCCGGGGGAGAGGGGACGTGGGGATAGACGGGCATGGGCCCTTGGGAAGGAGGGAGAGCCCAAGGGCTTGGGATGGGAGCAGCAGGGAAGCCTTCTTCAGTCCATGCAGAGACTCGGGTCTTCACCTGTCACCCTGCCAGCCCAGGGGTGCCCTATGGTCTACAGGGTGGTGGCAAAACCTGCCCAATACATTGCAGCAGGCGTGCAGAAAACGACATCTGAGAGTTCTGGACTGTGGCCTACAAGAGGTCCAGCATGGCGGCCATGCCCAGCAGTGCTGCCCGACACCGACGGAGCCCCTGCCGGGGAGGAGGCCAGTTAGCAGAGGTGCCTGGCCTGAGCATGGCCACCTTGCCTCCCTCCCAGCACTGACCATGACCACTGGCCACCCTCTCGGTTCCCTGTCCCCTTGTGCATTTTCTGACTCCTTGCTCCACAGACTCTCAGCCCCAGGTGGCTGCTCGCTGCTGCGCCTGAGCCCTGAACCCAGCCAGTGCCCACACGAATAGAATGAAGGGCAAAGCTCACGACGGCGTGGAGTATGCGTTTCTGTGCACATCCAGATGAGGAATCAGGTGCAGGGAGGTTTCTGGGTCATTGTAATGGGCTGCATAGCAGCCCCCAAAATTCATGTCCACCTGGACCCTCAGAACGTACTTGGCAACAGAATCTTTGCAGATGTAATTATTTAAGGAACTAGAGATGAAATCATCGTGTGGGTCCAAAGTCCAGTAACTTGTGTCTTGACGAAAGAAAGCAGAGGGTGCTCTGGGCACACAGAGGGCCGTGTGGGGCAGAGGTGGGGATTCCTGTGCGTGCCCACGAGCCAAGAACACCTGAAGACCCTGGGGCTAGAAGCAGCAGGACTCGCCCTTAGAATGCCCTAGGGGCACGGCCTGTCCACACTTTGGCTTTGGACTCTGCTCTCCGGAAATGTGAGAGGATGACTTTCTGTTGTTTTCGGTCACTGGTGGTGGTCACCCACCAGAGCATCCCTAGGAAACTTGCACGGTCAGACAGAAGGTGAATTCCGGACTCACACTGAGGAGTCCTCAGCTCACAAGCTGGGCCTGTGGGCGGGCACGGCTGCGCAGACTCCACAGCAGCCTGCTGTCCTGGGGTCCCCAGCCCTGTCTCTCCTTGCTGAGGGACTTGGCTGGGAAGGCGCCTTGCTCTCCTCTCAGTGCCCACACCTGCCTGGGGAGGGCAGCAGGGCTCTGCCCCTCCTGTGTGTGCGATGGGTGAGGGGGCAGGCCCTGAGCCCTCCATGGGCCTCTGCTGGTCTACACGGGGTAGGAAAACACCCTTGCTGGGCTGTGAGGGTGACTAAATGAGTCCGCAGCCATGACGGGGCCAGCCTGAGGCCTGGCACGTAGTAGGTGTGCAGGATGGCAGTGCCCCTGCTCCCTGAGCGGGGGAGCTGACTGTGTCTTGCAGCTGGGAGGGAGCCTTGCAGGTGCTCTGGGGAGAGGCATTTCTTTTTTCTTTTTTTAAGAGAGAGATTTTTGCTATAGTGTACACGGACTCACCAGAGAGACAGAAAGCGAAAGATCACTGCCCCCCTGGGGGGATGGCCATGCCACTATCCCTTCTCCTCCATTCTCCTCTTGGGATCTTGGGCACACATGCATGCACATGTGCCTGACATCTTTTAAGCTGGAAGGTCCGGGACTCAAATCGCGGTCAACCAAGTAGGAGCCCAGCAACGTCACCATTATGTCATCTGCTGGTCCCAGGCCACTAGGTGGAGTCAGTGGAGGGACCCAGGGAGTGCTCCCTGCAAGGCCTATGTCCTGAGACTCGGGGCCCAACCTCACACAGCAGGCATGTAACCCAACCCTGAGGCAGCACCCAGTCAAGTGCCCTCACTCGGTCTGGGGACTCCTAGCAGGACACCCCAGCTGGGGGCGGGGTGGGAGGAAGCTTAAAATGTTGCTGTTGGTGAAAGCCCCAGAACCAGCTGACTCCCGAGGAGGTCCCCAGGCAGACCCCACACAAGCCCCTGCATGTGTGGCCTGAGTTACGGGCTAGGCAGCACCTGCCCTGCGCCAAGCCCTGTGCAGACTTTACATGCATTTCTGCACTTGATCGCTGTAACAGTCCTGGAAGGTGTACACCACTACGTGTCCATTCTATGGGTAACAAACTGAAGGCCAGAGAGGCTAAGTGATTTGTTCAAGGCCACCCAGCAGGGAAGTGGCAGAGTTGGGACTTGAACTACATTAGTTCGGCTCTGTCTACTAAACCGCAGCACAACAGAATGGAGACTGCCTCTGTCTCCCCAGTGCCGAGCAAGGAGAAATAGCCCTTAACAGGGTGCTCCTGGGTGAGCAAGGTTCCCCCAGGAGCCCTCCCTACAGTGTTCCCGCAATGACCCTGGAGGGAAACCGAGGCAAGCGTCCCAGCCCTCAAGCAGTATGGAGTGCTTAGAAGGGGACAGGAGGCGAACACATGAATGATGGTACACAGAGGAGGTCAGGCTGTCACCCGGGATGCTCAGGAAGCACTTGGTGAACAAAATGTGCGAGTCTGAGTGACCCGGGTTCCTGGGGGCCAAAATTACCACCAGTGGAGCATCTGGGCAGATGTCACTGCCCCCTGTGCGCGTGTATGCAAGCACGCATGTGTGCGTGTGTGTGTAGGGAGGCTGCGGCCACAGCCTCCAACGAAAAGCATGCCTCCTACCCCTTCCCCCCCTCATTTTCCTTTTAGTGCAAATATCTGTTAATATTTTCAAAAGAGGCTCCTGAGCTGAATCCCACTAAACCATCTCTTCAAACAAAGGTGGGGGCTTTCCGCCCGGGCCCCTGCTTGTCTGGGAATGGCCTGGGGGAGGGTCCTGGAAGGAATGCAGGGCAGCTGCCACACCCCTTGAGGACAGCTGCTAGGATGAGGAGGGGCGCTCCAGGGAAGCCACCCACCACGGTCCATCATCCCTCCACCCTCCGGCCTCCAGCGCAGACATGGGAGCGCAGCCTGATGGGGGGGGGACCAGAAAGCAAGAGCCCTCCCACCGGCCCGTGGGGGCCACTTGCACATCTTCAAAACGGGGAAAAGCACTTCCTGCTTGGTTTGGCTCCGAGGCGACCACGAGCCCCGGCTCCACACATGGGGAGACCCTGGGTGGAAGGCGGGCACGCGGGTTCCGGGCCCTCCTGCCGCCTGCCAGCTGGGCGCTAAAGGTCAGCTCCGGGTTCTCCGGGGCCTCGGTCTTGTCCCTCTGTTTAGAAACACGTTGCACTAAACTTCTCCCTGGCTGCGCAACTTCGGCGGAGCAAGTTCTCCACAAACTGCGATGCCGCGCTGCCCTGGCACCGTTCCTCACTCGCATTGGTCCCTAGCACCCAGAGAGGCTCGACGACCTCCTCGCCGTTTCTGGGGCCCCAGGGCCAGCGGGCGGGCCGGGAGGGCGCGGCCTTACCTGTTCCAGGTGGCGTTGGCGCAGGCCCGGCGCTGCTGCGTGCCTCGCTCGTCCGCGGCGGCGGCGGCCGGCTCTCTCTTGCCCAAGTCACTGAGGCTGGGCGAACTCATGAACTTCAACCTGCGGAGAGTCCTCATGGTGACCCGGGTCGCCCACTCCGCGCCCACGCGCGCCCGGCGCCGCGCCCTGCGCCACGCCGAGGGCCCCGGCCGGCGCTGCGCCCTCTACGAGGAAACTTGGGCGAGAGCAGGAAACCGTTCGGCCCTGAGGGGTCCCGCCCCGGCTCTGCACCTCCGCCCCGGGCCCCGCGCCGGCCGCCCCGCCGGGTTAATTATTGCTCGGAGCGGCTGAAGCGTGGAGCGCCAGGAGCGCGGCCAGCAGCACGGACTCCGCGCAGGCGGAGGACGTGGGCGGGGCCCCG